CTTGCGCCCGAGGCCCCCGGGCGTGGGCGCGGGCGCGGGTCTGCCTCGCCGTTGTGCAGGAGCGCGAAGCGGCGCTGGGAGCGCAGGGGCAGCATCTTCTGGCCACGCAGGCTCTTCTGGGAGGTCTCCAGCGCCAAGTCTGGAGGAGGGGAGTGAGTGGGCCTTGGAGGAGGGGACGAGGCCTGTGGGGGCTTGGGGCGAGCAGGCCCTGGGGTGTGGAGAGCGGGCTTGTGCGGTGGGGGCACAAGCAGTGCTGGAAAGGCAGGGAGCCCGGGCTCACCCAAGGTCTCCATGACCACTCCGGGGATCACCTTCTTCAGGACCTCACAGTTGGTGTGCAGGGCGGGGTTGGAGTTCATCTCTAGCAGCCACACCTGCGAGGACATTGGTCAGTACCCCACGCCACCCAGTCAGCAGCCCAGTTGGCGGGGCCCCTGGCCCCCACCGTGCCCTGTGTTCCCATGGGCCTATGCCCCTAGTTTGCTAAGGGTTTGTCTTGAGGGCTGTCCGAGGAGGGTGTGCAGACCTTCCCCAGCTGCAGCTTGAGTGGGGGGCCTCGTGGGCACACCCACCCCAGACTAGGTGCAGGCAGCTTGGATCTGCTTCTGTGGTCAGAGGGTACAGATGTACCCTGCTGCCCAGACCTTATCCACCCAGGACAGTACCTTGAAGTTCTCATCAATCAGGAAGTCACAGCCAATGAGGTCGAAGTAACCCAGCTTGCACTCAAGCTTAGACTTGACCGCCAGGAAGCAGTGGGCCATGATCTGCTGCATCCGCTTCTGTGGGTGAGGTGGGCAGGGGTCCTGGCTGTCACCTAGAAGCCCTGGTTACACCTACCAGGCCTGAACATCAGTTACACCTGTCACCTGCACCTTCACTTGCTCGGGCACACCTGCCTCCACTCCCCCTCCCTCAGTGTCTTGGTAACTGCACAGCTTTGTGAATATACTGGAAACCACTGAACTGTATACTTCAAAATGGTGAATTTTATGGCTTAAAGATTGCTGGAGGGAGTAGGTGGACACACTTCAAAGTGGCTGACTTTCACAACCCACAGCCACATACTGTCCCACCTCAATGCCAAGCGGCTCCACTGCCAGTAGAAAATGTCCCTGAGAAATGAGGACACCCACCCCAGATGACCCTTAAACAGGGAAACCCTGCTTTGTCTGTAACTGGGACGGAGAACTGCTCTCTGCTCCCTCTCGCTGCCCTGCCTAGCTGGAAGGTTTGTGAGTCATAAAAACGTCTGAACTTTCAAACTGGTTGTGTCGTGGGTGGTAAGGCTGTGCTTGAGGAACCCGTTCAGGTGGCCCTCCCTCCCCCATTGGTAGGGCTCTTCTGTCTGGGGACATGGGTCAGTGGTTACGTGCTTTCCTAAGCACTGCAAAACAAAACAAAAAAAACATATACAGAGACCTAGCATCAGTGCAGCTGCACATCCGATCCAAGGACGCACAGGAGTCATCTCCAACCCAGCCCAGAGGGGCACACACAGATCCTGACCCAAGGGTCCCAGCCTGAGTGTCTCTGCTCTGCCCCGCAGGCTGGGCACAGCAGGGATATACCGTAAAGGTGGTGAAGACCCAGTCCTGGGGGAGGCCCTTGGTCCTCTGGAACTTGTCATTGATGTAGTGGTTGAGGTGGTCCATGCTCCACACCGTGTCCTCCTTCAGCAACACGTACAGGGGGCTCTGCTTCTGCATGAACTGGGAGAGAGCAGGGCCTCGCACTGCCGCTCAAAGCAGGCCTCGCAGAGCCCTGCCTGGGAAACCCCTCAACCAAAAGCTGCTCAGACTCTTGCAGGGTCCTTGCATGGGACTCTCCCATGACAGCCCTTACTCAGCACGTTGGGTAGGAGTCGGGCTGGGGCCTGCAGGGCCCTGAGTCATTTTACCAGTATGCCTAGGTGCCTGCCATGGCCTCTAAGGCTGGGCCTCCTTGGGCTGGGGCCACATCCACAGCTGGACTGTCCTCTGTGTCCCCAAACAGTGACAGCCTCCCTCTGATCTCATCCCATGCCCACCGAGAAGCCCTTGCCCAGGAAGGCACCCTACCTGATTGGTCAGATGGCCACTGAGGTCACTGGAGTGGGGGTCATAGAGGCTGAGGGTGAGGCGAGCATAGCCATGGCCAAAGAAGACCATGTAGGGCTCAGCACAGGCGATGAGCAGGTAGGAACGCACATCAAACTTCTTCCCATTCAGCAGCAGTGGGTTCTGGATATACCTGGGCACCACAGAGGCTGCTGGGGCTGAGCTACCTGACTACTGACTGGTGGCCCCTCCCGCACCTGGGCTGTTGTCTTGCACCCCTGGTTGGGCACCACATTCACAATCAAGGGGCCTTTCTGAACCTGAACATGTCTGAGGAATTGGGAAGAAGGGCTTGGTGCTAGGTCTCAGTTCACCACAGGTGTCTGGCCCAGCCTGGGTGTGACCCTCACCTGAGCCTGGAGGGGGGGGCACAAGTTGGGCCCTGAGGCTAGAGGGGCTGCTTTGGGGCCATGGAGGCTGAGGGCATTGGAGAAGAAGGGAGGGGACAAGTCCAGTGGGTCCTCAGGACTGGGGGGCCTGATGGGAAGAAGGGGTGGGCTGTGGCCCGTGTGAGGTCCACACTGGGTCCCACTGCACCCAGCCCCGAGTGAGGCTGAGGGTCTAGACCCTGCCTGGAGGCCAAGGAGTCCCGCCAGCTCTGGCTGGTTGGGCTGGGGAGCAATGAGGCAGCTGCAAGTGAAGGGATAGAGGGACAAACTGACAAAGTCCTCCCCGCGAGCCTGTGTCTGGGGCCCAATGTGACACCTCCCCTCCTACAGCCCCAGGGCCTGGCTCTGGGTGGCTGGAGGATCCCTTGCAGCACTGCTGGCTCCCCAGGTCACCCGCCCAGGTCACCTCTGCACCACCCGTGCGTGAGGCCCCCGGAAGGGCGTCTTGCAGTGGAGGGGGCCATCCTCCGCACTCTGTATCTTGGCCTGCAGAGTGGTAAGCTCCTCCTGGCTCCTGATCAGAAAGATGCCCTTGCCCTGATTGGAGGCTGTGGGCTTGCAGATCCATATTTGGGTTTCTGTAGGGAGTATCTCCACTGAGCTTTTCATTTGCCCCACGGCGATCCACCCACCTCTGCCCTGCCCACCCTGGCACACCCTCCCCATGGCCATCCCCCTCTTCGTGGCCCATCCATGACTGCAGGGCTGGGTTACCCCTGGACCTGGACCTGACCATCCCAGCCACACCTGGTCCTGGCCCCATTACCTCTGCCTCACACCCCTAACCCCATCTATGACCACACCTCCATTCCTGCCCCACCCTGCCCTGGCATCACCCATCACCTGCTGGCCTCACATATCCTCCCACACGGCCCTGTTCTGCCCTGTCCCAACTCTGGCCATAGCTCATGCCTCGCCTGGACCTGGCCCACTGGATGTGCTCTATCCCAGTCCTGCCTCAACCACACCCACATCTGGACCAAGGGCCGAGGCCGTAGGACCCCCACCTCTGCACCTGCACCCACAGCTTCACCTCCTGCCTCCCTCACTGACTTCTCCAGGACTACATCCTGTCCCTGCCTTGTCTGTGTGACCTGGGTCCAGCCAGGTTGCTCACCGTCAAAAAGGGTGAAGAAGGCCTGCCTCTCATTGCTGATGTCCAGGCGGTAGGTCTCAGGGAAAAAGTCTTCCATTTTCAGCACCCTGAAAGGGCAGGGAGGTGGGGAAGTTCTGGAGAGACTGTCTTCTGTCCCAGGCTTGGCAGGGCTGTCCCCTGGAGACTTCCTTGGGCCCAGATGCCTGTCTGGCACCCTGCACCTCTCCAAGCTGCTTCCTCCACAGGCCTTGGCCCACTCTGCCCCTACCAGAGCACTTGGGCTGTTCACATCCCTGGTTTCTAGGCACTGCCTGACCACCTGGTCCTCCTCCCAGTGACCCTCAGTTTAGTGCAGGGTCTCAGGGCTAGGACTTTGCTGGCATGCAGCAGGTGGTCAGTATGGGTGCTGGCTAAATGTCTGGCTTTCCCTTTATCCCTTCTCCCAATGCCAGGTCATCCGTCAGTTCAGGTCAGAATAGCAATCAACCCCCAACCCCCAGCTGGGATTAGTGCATCTACCTCTCTGGTCCGAGGTGCCCATTCCAAATACATACCCTGGGGGACACAGGACCTGGCCTGAGTGGCCACCTCTTGTGCTTGGAGAATGAGTGGGTGGAGTCTGGAGTGATGGAGAGTGGGTGGTCTGGGGGTAGTAGTTGAGTGGGCAGATGGTCTGCTGCACAGATGGGGGCCTTGGTTCTGAGTTGTCGATAGGACAAAGGAAGTGGGTAGGAAGTGGGTGTACATGCAGATGGGTCAGGGCTGGAGTGGCAGGTGGTAGAGTGAGTGTGTTCATGGGCAGGTGACAGGATGGACCCCTGGGTGGGTGGATAAGTAATGGATAACCGAGTGGGTGGGAGCTGTGTGGAGGCGGGGAGGGGGAAACTGAAGGGCCCCCGGGAACAGATAGGGTGGCTGTGGTAGGTGTTGGTGTAGAGGCAGACAAAGGTAGTGTGTTTAAGTTTGGGGATCTTTTTAAGAACAGGTAGGAGCCAGAGGCAGGTGTGGGCAGGGTGGGGCTCACCTGGTCTGGGTGCCCAGCGGCATCCGGTTCACCTTGCTTAGGGTCCTCTCATGTTCCCGCAGGGCACTAAGCAGCCCAATCTTGGTGGTGAGCAGTTTGTTGTTGGGGAGCTGGAACAGCAGCTGCTGGCCTGGTGGGAGAAGAACAAGGGCGTTGCAGGTGGCATCCAGGCCTCGTAGGCCGCCCCACCCTGCCAGGGTGCGCCCCACCTTCCCGAAAGTTGTGGTAATTGTCCCGGCACTTGATCTCGCACCACTTCAGCCTGTAGTCTTCCCGGTGGCTGTCCTGGGTGCGCTGCCAGCCCTTGCTCCTGCAGTAGGCGCTGATGCTGTGGGAATGGCGGTGGTGACCCACAACCGCAGGGAAGAGGGAAGAGGGAAGAGGGAAGAGGACTGCAGGCAGCTCCGTGAGCTGGGCCCAGGGCAGAGGTGCGTGCGGCCAAGAGCCCGTGGGCCCCCACTCACATGGAGGCCCCATTGCTGCCGCCAATGTAGAAGTAGGGACCCTGCCTGTTGCTGGGGAGATGCTTGTTCCTGTCCTGCAGGAACTCTTTCAGGAGGGCCGTTGGGGACCTGGCAGCATCTGCACCATCCAGGAAGTCTGTGGAGAGGTGGGAGTGGGGGATTCACAGCCTTGGGCTCTGGGCTCAAGGGGGATTCCCTGCCCCCTCCTAGCTCAAGAGCCCACCTGCATCTGTGTTCAGTTGGCTCAGCTGCTCCTTGCCACTGCTGCCCATCCGTCTCTCATGGGTCCAGCCTGGGGACCAGGGAGTGAGGTGCGTCAGCCCATGCCCAACCCATTTCAGCAGCTCCTGAGAGGTCACTTAGCCCTTTGGTCCCACCACAGCCCAGCATAGACCTGACTAAGGAGCCCTGGACCATCATACCTGAGGGGGATAGCTACCACCCTACCAGGGCCAGCCCTTGGGCAGGCAGGATCCAGGTGGATATGGAGAAGGCACAAGGTCCAGGACGCAGACCTACCCCACCCTCCTTACCCACAGGGCTGTAACTCCATTCGGGGCAGGGGTGCGAGCCATCTCCAGAGCAGGCCTGCAGGGAGTCCCCTGGGGCAGGGGTCACAATGTCCACGGTGACATCACCAGTGACCCAGGGGCCATTGTCAACCAGGGGAGATGAGGGGCCGCCCTGGGTGAAGGTTGAGTGGTTTGGGCAGGCAGAACCCACAACCTGGGAGAGGATTGATGTCCTGTCTGCCCATGAGCACCGTGAGGCATGGAGTCTTCCAGGGCCTGGGCCCCTCCTCTGAGATCACCTGCCCTGGCTGGGGCACCTGTCCCTGGGACCCTGACTGGGTGAGGGCAGGGCTGTGCCAGCCTGCTGTGCATTCACCTGGCACCTGGACGTGGTGCCGCCGGATCCTGGACCGCTTGGGTCTTCTGGAGCAGATGTGGGTCCTTGTGTGCTGACCCCAGTGGTGGACAAACAGGACATGGCTGCGGGTGAACAGCATGGGGGCCCCATGGCAAGGGCCCCTCTGGGAAAATGTTGCACCCACTCTCCTGTGGGGCCTTCGGGTGGCCCGAGGCCCCAGCCCTTGGACAGGGCACAGGGTTAGGCCCACCCTGCTCAGGGAAGGCTGTTTCCTCCTGTCCCGGACTGTGGCTTCTGCTTGAAGCTGGCTCCTGTCTCGGCGACGGCTGTGGGGCCTCGTAGCCTGAAGGGTCGAGGCCATCTCTGCATCCTGCCTTGCCAGGCGTGTCCTGCACTGCTGGCACTGTCTTGGCCTTGCCTAGAGCTGCCCCGGTGCTGGCTGTAAGGAGGGTGGCCATCAGGCCTTCTAGGGCACTTAGGGTCAGAGGGCCAGAGAGGCTCTCAGCCCTGAGCCGGACTCTCTAGTCCACACTGCAACCCGGAAGCCCGGCCAACATCCTGCCAACACAGTCCCCTCTCCGGGTCTGTCCCTGTGCTGTCCCACTTTCCCTGTGTTGCCACCTTTGGAATATTTCAGGTAAGTGTAAGTATATGTATTTCCTCAGTCCCGAGGAGTGAACCCAGGGCCTTCATGCAGAGCTACAGCCCAGTGATTTTTTTTTTTGACACAGGGTCTCATTAAATTGCTAAGTTGGCTGGAAATTTTCATCTTCCTTCCTCAGTCTCCCAGAGTTCTGAGATTACAGGTATATGCCACCACACCCAGCTTCAATTTCAGAGAATTTTTAGCCAGTTCCTGAACAAGTTGTTCTACTTCAGTGTAAAAAGATCCAGCTCTGGGCTGTTAGGAAGGCAAGGCTTTGTGAAGGCCTCAGAATATACACAAACATGCCAGTTGAGCAGAACAGAGGTGGCATGGAGACCTGCATCTAGGAAGGGAGTGACAGTGGAGGATTCTTGGATGGGTGAGTGGGAGCATGTCATCTCCAAAGAGAAAAATTGCTCTGTGGCTAGACCAGCTGGGCAGCCAGTAGTGCCAGGGGAGACTGTGGCCCAGTGACCACCAGCCAGGCAGGCTTTGTGTCTGCCTCACCCTGTCCCGATGAAGGGACAAGAGAGGAAAGAACAAACCCAGAGATGGAAAAAGAGGAAGCCAGGGGCTGCACATAGTCACCCTCACCCAGCCTGTGAGTCTCACAGCTCTGCAGAGTCAGCCTCCTCTGGGACCCTCGCTCCGGGAGCCATCCTTCCCTACTTCTGCCCGGTTGGCTGGGTATGGAGATCAGGAGCTCCACACCAGCCTTGCATCCTCCCTGAAGGCTGGGGGGCTCTACACAGATGTCTGGCCTTGGTGGGTCTGTGATTTGGATTCTTCCTTCAGGCTCTGTCCCCTGCTGTCTTTCCTGGGTCATTTCCTGGACTTCATTTCCAACCCTGTGCTGTTTGATATCCATGTTCTTTCCTATTCTGAAGGCTCCCAGCTCCTATCTGGTGGCTGAGTGTCTCCCCCACCCCAGCACATTCTCAGGCTGAGTGGCTTCTGTGTCACTGTCCCCCTTCCTCTTCCTGTGTCTGTGCATCACTCTCACGTGCTCTTGGGAGGCCCCCCTTGGGTCCTCTAGGGCTGGGAGGCCACTTGGGCTGGGACAGTGGTAAATGTCAGGGCTCCTCAGGCCAGCAACCAGGTAATGGGAGCTTTGGGATGGGGCCAAGTCTACAGTAATCATGCAGTCTTGAACACATGCGTGTGCACATGTGCATGCACACACACATACACCTGCCCGTCCTCCCCAGCTCACACCCACTGCCTTTTTCCCTGGAGCCAGAGGAGGCTGACTCTACAGAGCTGTGAGACTCACAGGCTGGGTGAGGGTGACTATGTGCAGCCCCTGGCTTCCTCTTACAAAGAATTACATAAGCCATGAGTTACTACCATTTCTTGTCATTCAGGTGGACAAAGACTTTGTAAAGAGCCCTGGCAGGGGTGTGCCAAACATGAGGTCCTGTATACACAGAGAGGCTGGAACTCAACCAGCCTCCAGGTGCGTCCTCTGGCGGCTGCATGTTCAGGGACTAAAGGATGAGACTCTAAATCCAGAAACAAATTTCATATCAGAGGTTTGTCAACTGCTGTTTCTATGGGTGGGACCAGGAATTGAGCCGTCCACAGAGGCGGGTGGCTGTGGATCCTTTTGACAGGACATTACTTAAGATGAAGTAAAAACAGGTGAAGGTTGGGCAGAGCACTCACAAATTTATAATAAATTTAAAATACTCCTTTTACCTGGTCAGATTACAGACTGGTGGGAAATCACTCTGGTTCAACAGATGCTTTTAAACCTGAAGAAAATGTTCAAGAAAAAAACATGTCCTCGAACTGTTGCAGGAACTCCCCACGCAGGCCCTTCTGGGAGACAAACCTGCTGTGGACGAAGAACTTGTCCTGAGGGTGCCTAGCCCTCCCCAAATCTGCCTGTGGAGAAGGCTCAGCTCAGCCAAGCTGCCCGCCTGTCTCTCTCTCTGGCCCCTGCTCCCTTCCTTTGACTCCTGGGTCCCCAGAGGGCCTCAGGAGGACAGGACCAAGCTTCAGCTTCAGCTTCAGCCAGGACTCTGCTTTGCCACTCCCTCTTACCTAACCAAGAGATCTCCAGAGCCCTTTGCTGGGATACAACAGTGGTGACCTGGCAACATCTCTCAGCAACTGTTACCTGGCAACTGCATCCCAGTAGTGCCTGGGTAAACATAGGCTTTAGGTGGATGGTAAGGGGCCAACGTCTGCGCAGGGACGAGGGGAAGAGAGTGATGGGCGTGATGGACAGGCTCTGACCCTAGCCTTGTGGCCTCATGCCCTGCTGACCTCTCCTTCTAGGGTCCTGCACAGCACTGCTTGCTCTAGGGGCTCCCTGGCTTGAGCAGATGCTGGGTGCCTCAGGCTGCACCCCCATGTGGCTCTTCCCTGAACTGACAGGATGGGGTATCTCCCAAGGTGTGGCTGGGGTGGAGAGGTGCCCTCTGTGAAGAACCCCAGCATTTCTACCCTTACCCCACTGTTCCTTGGGGGGCGTCAGCTTCTTATTGCTGGCCTTACCCATCTGAGGATCTCTGGGCTCAGTCCTGGTGCACCCAGCCACCTGTGCTGGCCCAGCAGACCTCTGCTTGGGCAGCTATGGTCAGCCTGGCAGCCAGGGCACAGTCTCTTGGCTTGAGCAGAGCGCCCCTTGGCCTCACCCTGGCCAGAGTGCCAGTCTGGACTGTGCAGAGAGAGTGCTTGTCCCCACCCATACTGACCTGCTTAGCCTGCATCAGGGCCAGGCCTGGGGAGCAGGGCAGCCTGTCTTCCAGAGACTTGCACCAGCTTACATGGTGGGCATGGGCAGCACCAAAGCCATGGCCCACACCATCTGCAGCAGCCTCTCCTCTGGAGGGAGAACAGACTTGGAGCCCCTGCAGTGCCTCTGCTAGGGCCTTCTTGCTGGGCCATGGCTTGGGTGAATGCTCCCCCTTCCTAGGCCTGGGCTCAGAGAGCTCTGCCTCAGAAATCTGCTCAGAAACATCAGAATTATGTCCTGTCTGTCCTTCCTGCTCCCAGTACCCTTCCCTGGGACCAGAACTGAGTCAGGAAAGACTCAGGGATGGACAGGAGGAGGGGCCTCTCTCCCAGCAGTGTCACGGAGGCCCATGCAGAGCTTCCGGTTGATATTCTGTGTAGTTACAAGCAGGTGGTCAGAGTCCACTGGCTTTCAGGCGTCAGTTTATTGCCATACAGACTTTTTTCTATTTTGTTCACAATGAACCAGGCAAGGATGAGGAGGAGCCCACACCTTCAGGCTCCTCACCAGAGAAAGGCCTGGCTCAGAGTCCAGTGCTCAGTTGGGTGGGAGCTGCTCTGGGAGGGTGAAGTCAGCCGAGTCCCAGGGTTCCTTGTTTATGAGTGGAGCAGCTCTCAAGAGGGACTGGCTTCATCACCACGGAGCATACAGAGGAGAGCCGCAAAGACACAGGGTGGGCTAGGCACAGGATTAGTGCCCAGGCTTGGCTGGGGGTACTTCCTGCTAGCCTGAGTGCTGGCCATACTCAGGTTTGGGTGTTTGGGTCCAGGGCTGAGGTCTGAGGCTCACGTGGGTCTGATAAATGAGCTGCCACACTCACCAGGGGAGGGGTCCACTGCAGTGCTCATCACAGCAAACTCATATTACTCATGAACCAGTTCAGAGCTGCTCAAGAGTCATCAGCTTTGTGGAGTTGCTTCAGATTCCCCTGGCAGGGAGGGCTTGGGGTTGCTGCTGCAAGACTGGGTCTGTTCAGTGCCCAGTGCTGGGGTATGGTCAGCTCCCTGGGCCTCAGCAGACAGAGCTGGGAGCAGAAGGGGGATCAGGGGCAGGGGTTGCACAATCTCAACACCTGTTTTCCCTGGGTGTGGTCACTCTCACCTGGCCTGGCCCATGGCCTTGAGGTGGCCCCAAACCACCTCAGCCCTGGATATGTGGGGGGAGGTGGCCTGTTCTCCCATCCCCAGGGCCTGCCGCTGGCACCGTCCAAGAGTATCTGGGTCCTGAGAAGAAATACAGGCTGACTTTCCCCTCCCTGCCCACGTGTCCTTTTCCCCCACACTGGCTTTGGGGTCACGGGCAGAGGCAGAGCTGCTTCTGCCTGGTCCTTGCTAGGCACCTGGCCTTGTACATGTGGGGAATACTGAGGGCCAAGGTTCAGGCTGAGGGCCTTCACCTCCGAAAGTGCTGGGTGACTGCCCTCGTAGACCCTCAGTGTGGGGACCAGGCTGTGTTGTGACAGCCTTGCTTGCCTTCACTCCTGAGGGCAGCAGATGCAGGTCTCAGTGCATGGAACCCTTGGTCATGCCAACACCTCTGTGGCTGTGACAAAGCCACCATGGGGTGGGAGGGAAGCAGCAGGGTCCTGGGGCCTCAGGCAGCTGTGCCAGATGGGCCACAGGCCTCAGCCTTTGTCTGGTGTCCAGTGAGAGTCCTGTGGGTCCAGGGGTTCTGCTCCAGCGGTGACCAGGCCGTGGATGGACGGCATTACCAGACAGTATTAGACAGAGGCATCCAGATCTAACCGTGTCTGGTAAGACGCCCATCGTGGGCGAGCATAGGCTCCTCTGGTCCTGGTGCCTGTGGAGGGAAGGTGTCTTCGGGGGCTCCCCTCCTGACGGCAGAGCCAGCCCCAAGTCCAGGGTTGCTCTGAGGAAGTCCTACTGCCCCGGCTCAGCGCTGGCCCAGCCCAGGTGCTGGTGTTGTAGATGCCACCAGGGAGTGGTCTGGACCAGCGGATCCAGGCCAAATGCTCACCTCTAGCCTCATGGTCTCCTGAATGAGTCCAGGCAGTTTAATGAGTAACAGAAGGTCGGGGCAGACCCCACCCTGCCCCACAACAGGTGAACTCCTGGCTCAGTGTCCTGGCCTCAGATCAAAAAGATAAAATGGGTCATCCTGCATTGTAATTTTGGACAAATTTCCTGTTCTTGGCTGGCAGAGGGAATGCAGACTCTGTCCTTGGTCAGGAGACAGTGGGGGAATGGCCTCAGTTCCTTGCATGTGGCACTCAGGCACCTGAACCACACTGTTCTACTTGGTTCCCAGAAGCAGGGCACTAGCACAGCCCTGAATGCCAAGACAGGCCATGGCCCCTAGGCCTCCTCCCCCAGCCCAAGGTCTTGGCTGTGAATTCTCTACAGGACCAGCTGAGTCCAAAACCCAACCTGAGAGGAGCAGGGGTGAAGGGTAGGGTGAGGCAAAGGCTGCTCCAGGACAGAGCCCCTAGTAAGGCAGAACCACCCTGGCCAGCCTCAGCATGATGGGCAGGGGTGCCCTCCTCAAGGCGAGCCCCACAGGGTTGTAGGCCCCTGCCCTGCCTACTTCCGGGTCCAGGAACTGAGGACGGCACATCTTCGGGTATCTCCAGAGTGGTGGGTCACCTTTGAACATCGTTACCAGACAGTGTTAGAGTCAAGCCAAGAAATCCAGCACTGTCCGGTAAGATGCCCACAGAGGCCCAGGTGTGCCTAGTCTGAGGCACAGGGACAGACGTTCAGCTCTCCACCCACAGCAGCAGAGCCGGATGATTCGGTGAATGACCTCGGCTGGAGAGGACCAGTAGCTTGGTGAGGGCTCAGTCACTGTCTGCCTTCCCTGGTTTTCCTTAGCCAGGAGACCTTGGGCTGCTGGCTTGGGACCAAGACCAGAGGTGTAGCTGCCTCCCCATGGGCGCACAGTAAGGGAGAGAGGCCCCACCCTGGGTCAGCACAGCCCCACCCCCACCCGGTGAGGCCTTATGGGCCCTGCTGAGACTTTACTCCCAGAGCCCTTTGCTGTGGTCCCCCCAGCCCACACCTGCCAGGTGTGGTGGCAGCACCTGCCCGGGTGCTGTGGGTAGGGTCCAGATACCTGAGTGTCCTAATCCCCAGAACATTGACTGGGGGGGGCGGGCAGAGCAGCTGCAGGAAGCCTTTTATCCCAGGGTCTGGGGTGCTCATCAGAGAAGCTGAGGGGCTTTCCATACCTCCTTCCCCAGGTCAGGTTTCTGTCCCGTAGCTCCACCCAGAAGCCAGTGGGCTGGATGGAGGGATGGGCACATTGTGGGGCTAGGGTCAGGGATGGGTGGAAGGGGAGGGAAGGCGGCCCCGTTGCTGCGTGCAGGGCTCCGCCGTCATCATTACCAGGCAGTATTAGAGACCAGACACCATCCAATGCTGCCCAGTAAGATGGCCACGGCTGCCCAGATTGGTCTGGGGGCCGCCAGCTGGGGGTCAGGTGGGGTCTGAAGGGTGCCTGAGGGGAGCTGTGTCTTCTCTAGGCAGTGGGGTGGAGGGAGGGGTCCCGTGGGGAAAGGGCCAGGTGCCTGAGGCCTCAAAGGTGGCTGGGGGCCAGAGTGAACCCCTACTTGCCCTCCGGCCCTGCCCTGCAGTGCCACTGCATAGGCCCAGAAAGGCACTCCAGGAGCCAGGGTGTCCTGCCCAGGGGCTGATGGCCCAAGGGAGAGGAAAGAGAGCAAGGATGGGTGGAGCCTCTCTCAAGACGGTCCTAGAGAGAGGCGTGGTCCAGGGCCCCAGTGTGTGCAACAGATCAACATACCACCTCCTATGTCTGAGGCTGTCCAGGCCGTACTGCTGGACTCTCTGCCTTGCCCCAGGATATTGTCCACAGCCTGCTTCCTGCCCAGCCCCTACCTGCCTTGCTCCAGGGCACCGGCCCAGGGACAGGCAACCCAGCTCCAGAGGCAGGACGGCCCTCCTCTCCCTGCCATCTCCCAGTGGCACTGGGGCTTAGAGTCCCCCTCCAAGGCAGGTGGGGACAGCAGCCCCAAACAGAACATAGAACCCTCTGTCCAGGTGTCCATGGGAACAGGGCTATTCTGAAAGGGTTGTTCAACCTCTATGCGCAGGGTCCAGCTTGCAGCCCCTCATGGAGCCATGAGACCAGGGCACTCAGGCCTGGCACTTTGACCTCGTCTAGACCCTACCCTGCTCCTGCCTCACAGCAGCCTGGGTTTGGAAAGCCAGCTGAGCAGCTTGGTGAGGTGCCAACACCTTCCTCCCGGAGAGGCTGTGGAGGGGTGCCGGCTGCGCTGCTGATTTTACCAGGCTGCCAGCCGACCACCGCAAGGGCCACACTGACCCGGCCACTGCCCAGTCCTCCCCATGGCCAGCATTTCTGAGGATCTGCCTTGGCCCAGCTCAGGCCCGGCAGGTGGGGCCCACTGCTTTTCAGATACCTGAACCCCCCGACAGGCTGTCCTGGCCCCTGCTCCATACCCCCGAGCACCATGGAGATGCGCTCCCCTTCCTCCCATTCACACATGTCCCTCTGACCCTGTTAGGTCTGTGCTTTGAGAATGCAGTGTCCCTTATTGTCTGAGCTAAGGCTTCCTTTTCAGAGCTAAGTGAAGTTTCAGTTCCTCTCCTGGTTGCCAGGCCACAGGAGAGGCTGTGGGGGCTGAGTGGTGGGAGGCAGCTACCTAGCATCCAACCGTCCAGCCCAGGTAAAGAGCATTCCCCAGCACATGGGGCTGACAGGCCTGATGTCGCCAGTGCCCTTGGCCACTCAGGGTCAGGACTTCTTGGGAAGCCCTGAGGGCTGGGGAGCCATACAGGGCCCACAGCTGGCCTGGCCACAGCCAAAGAGATAGACCAGTGCCATGCACTGCCTACTAGGTGGTCAGGAGCCTCATCCTGCCCAGTACGTGGAGAGAAGAGTGGATGGGCACCGGCCTGGTGCAGTGCCCAGGAGGATCAGTCCTCCCCTACCCTGAGAGGCTCAGCACAGACCCTGGCTTCTCCTGGCACAGGGGCAGGGGAAAGGTGAGGACAGTTTGAAAAGTAAAAACAGGCTCCTCTCCAGAGCAGCACGGTGCCCTCCTGGGCAAGGTGCCTCGGGTCCCCTAAGGCCTGTCTTCCCCAACGGCCCTAGTTAATCATCACCTTCCATCAGGCTCCCTTGGGAAAATTGAGGAACGGCTCAAGGTGGCCCAGAGGCCCCAAGCTGGTCTGCAGAGCAAACACCCCCCAGGGCGCCCAGCACACAGCAGGCGGAGGTTGGGGGGCCTGGCCAGGAATGTAATCCCGGTGTGAAAAAGCGAGTGGCTGGTTAACCTGCCCGACGGGCCTTAATCAATGGCCAGGCCGCACAGAGAACAAAGCACTGAAACCCAACCTTTCCTGCCTGCCTCGGATCAGCCAGACCCAGACGCCAGAGGCCGCAGGGGGGTGGGGTGGGGGCGGGGGCGGCGGGCTTGGCTCTCCCTGCTCAGGTCTGTCTTAGCTTCCGCTGCAGCTACGTGTCTTCGAGGCAAAGCCGCCATTTCACCCACCCGGCCCACGGCGTCCCTCAGCCCTCCCTGGCAGCCGCACAGGGCACACCCTACATCCTGCCGTGCCACAGAGGGACCAGGTTCCTCCTCAAAATAGTCCACCTGACCCTGAGAACACTAAAAACACCCCAACAAACCAATTTTGCAAATAAGATACTTGCAAATTATGAAAATGTCTGAAAATTAACAGTGGACTGTGTCCATGTTTTACGGTTGACTTTCATTTTCATAAATGCAAAACTTACTTTGCCTTCTTGAATTTCAAGAAGCTACCAATTGGGCTACATTTCATCTGTGTTACTGGAAAAACAACACAGAACAAAACCCATTTTTCCAGATGCTTACCCTAAAAAGGCCTATAATGCTCACAGTAGATTGATCAAAACACTGTATATGCCTTGGAAGTTTTGTTCACCAAGAGCAATGAAAACAATGAACTCTGCTGCCCCGAAGAAAACAAAGCTGCCTCCCATCACCATTGTCAGCTTCTGAACCTGAAACTGTCCAAGCTGCCGGCAGCCAGGTGCAGGCTTTAGGCGGGGTGTGCCTGGTCTCCAACCACAGGGCAGCTGTGACCAGACCCAGTGTCTGTATGACGGCTCACTCCCACCCTGCTGCTTGGCACTGAAGTAAGAAACCTTTAGAATCAGCTTTGGCCCTGACCCCAAGTAACTGTGACCACCCGCTCCAAGGTGGCACCGTAGAAATGGGCAGGTGAGAAATAGCCCGTTCTCCCGCTCAGGCCCACACTGTCACCAGCCTATAGGCCTTGGCCAACCTCTGACCACAAGGTCACTCTGGGCCATAGCTGCTGACAAAACCAACCCCCTCCATGAGCAGACAGACTCTAGAAATCCACGAGCAGCGACAGAGGCATCCCCACACCAGATCTTCTACCTACCTCTGAGACCACAGCCCTCCCATCTCCAAACAAAGTAGGGCAGGAGCATCAGTTCCTCTTTGAAAAAGAACTTTCTAGAAGGCCTTGTTGCCAGGTGGATAATGGATGCAAACCCTCTGGGAGTCTGTCTTCGGCCTCTCTGGTACCTGGACCTGCCTGGCTTGAAGATGTGGCCTCTGGACCCCAGCAGCTTCCAGGCTGGGCCCAAGATGGCTCCCCGCTGAAACATAGCCACGTCGCGGCCCGAAGAGACCCACCTCTTAGGAAAGGAAGGCCTGCATACTCTGCACTCACCAACACCATACCTCACTGACGCTAGCTGTACTGGCTGCCGGTCGGTCACCACGGCCCCCATTGGTCCGGCCCCAGCCACGCTGAGCTTCCCTGCACAGCGGCCTCCCTCCTGCCCGCCCTTACCTGCCCCGACAGGTTCCTGACAGGTTCCTCGGCAGCTGAGGAGCAGGGTAGAAGCTGCTCCCGCCCCCAGCCCTGCAGCCAGCATGGTCCCTGCCCCAGGACCCCAAGGGTGTGGGCCAGGCCTTGGGAGGACATGGAGAAGATTGAGCACCATCACCCATACCTGTCAGATAGTGATGGACAGCTCAGTGCCCATGTTTGCTCTGGCACAACCTTCCCCCAACCCAGATCCAGCCTCAGCATGGAGCCAGGCCTGACTGTCCCCCTCTGGTGAGGCTCAGACACAAAGAGAAAGACAGGCTGAGCATGGACAGGTGAACAGCCCAGGGACAATGAAGGGGTTGGCACGGCAGGCTGCCGGGAAAGGGAAGAGCCGGCGTGGCGGGGCTCGCCTTACATGTAGCTGCTCACCCCGCCCCACGCAGGTGCCTGCTCCCAACCGGCCAATCTCTGCTCCTGGCCACCAA